CTCGATCAATTATAGATGAGTAATATAGCTACATGAATGCATTTAGATTGTAAATAGCAATCATATTGATTTAGGACTTCTTTAAGGTGACTTTGCTGGACTTTTTGAAATACTCTTGGTTGGACTTTTTGAAGGATTCTTGGCTGGAGTCTTCTCAGAAGTCTTGGCTTCAGGTTTTTCTGGAGTCTTGTCTGTATTCTTAAAGAAAGTGTGCAAGGAAGTTTGGACAGATGTTCTCCAGGGAGATAAGCAATGCAGTGAATTTGTTCACTAGTTTGGCATTGCATCAGATCAAGCATTGTAAAGTTGAATCTGACATCATAAAGTTGAAACAGGTTGTCAATTTATAAACGTTGTAAGTGCGAAATGTTGTAACACAAAGCGTTGTAAGTCGAGGAATGCCTGTATTCACAAAAAAATGTTCCTTCAGGGTACCACCTCAGTAGGTTTAAATAATTGTATACACATCAAGGTGACTGCAACAAATTATACAAGATGAGGAACTAACCTTTAGGTTAGGTGGATTTCAGGTACTGGTAATAGCCTTTAATCTGTATGTAAAACATTTGGTACAGTTGGCATAGAATTTTTCAGTTAAGTACTTATAAGCTTGTTTTTGTTTTTTGGGTTTTTTTACTAACTTGAACTTATAGTTATCAGCTATATGGATCAAATCTCTTTCTTTCTTCCAAACGTTATTTACATGACCACTGGAGTGTTTGCTGTTCTTTTATAGTGATAAAATTAACTTTGCTTACAAAGATTATACTGGATAATTTTTTCCTTTTCCTTTTTATGATTATAAAGGCAGAATAGAATTCCTCATCTTAAAGCATGAAGGTGAAGATTTTTATGGGAATGCTAGTTAGTACTGGTTACTCCTTATTTAACCTAACTAGACCTTAACTCATGATAAAACTTTCTGTATTATCACCCAAAGAATGATTAGCTACTATGTATGTTTGACTTAAGAAAACGTAAGATTTGTGAGTTAGGATCTTGGACATATATTTCCAAATTGTATGCAAATACACAAGTGCTGTTCTGCATATAAGAGTAGCATAGAGTTAACATAATAGTTATTGCATAATGAACTATGTAGGCATGAAAAACAGCCATTTACAAGGACAGATTTTTTTGTACATACCTCTCACCTTTATGAAAAGCTGTTTTAGCATGATCAAACTGACTGCAGAAGTGCCAGGTTCTTCAGTTACAGAATTTCATAATTTTAACCAGACTGTCCAGGTTAAAACCTGCAGATACCAACTTCACAGACCTTCCTCAGGGATACTTGCTTGAGCGTTTACTGCCTAAATTGAAAATATCCAAAGCTTGAAAAATAAAGTGTAAGTATGTTTCCAAACATCTGAAAGCTGTCCTGATTACAGATGTGCAATGCTTGGCATTTTATTTTAGCAGTGGTTTGTTTGCAAACACTTGCTTTACTTTTAATTTGCAGGTGTTCACAAATCTTGAGGTTCATTTGAGATTCTGAATTAAACTAAGTCAAGAATTCAAAAGAAAATGCATAAAAAGCAAGTTTTGTAGGACTTTATAAAAAAATCATATATTTTCAGTGGAAAGTTTCATTAAGCTCAAAAAGCCTTACATTGAACCTGGGTTGACAACTGAGTTAATTACAAAACATGAAACCAAATGTGTTTCATGAAAGCATAATTTTTTAAGGTTTTGCTGAACTTTAGATCTGCAAATAAATCACTCACTCAGAAAGCAATAATAATTCTTAATACCCTCTTAACTGCTACACATTACTAGCATTCATAAGGATTAAGTAGTTTCTGATAATGCAATATTTTATAAGTATTGTGACACATGTTAAAACAGTAATAGTGAGTTTACAAAACATTTTCTAAGATTACAAAACAATTTTAACGTTATTAAAAATGTTGAAAGAGAATGTTAACAACAACAAAATTGGCATGTAATTTCACCTCTAGCATATAATATATACCAGTATCATATAATAGTTAATTATAACACAGTGAGACGTGGAAAGGCAACAGGTAAATCTATTGCTAATAGTTTCCACCTTTCTTCATGACAAGGGAAATAACATTTCTTTAAGAATGTTAGGTCATGTAAGCTGGAGAAAGCTCTGAGGCAATTATGTGCCTCATTACCATCTGGTCATTTACTTTCTGATGGCTGTGACAGCTTGGGCTGGACTGAAAGAACAGTGCCTCCTGCACAAAAAGCAAGACAGTGACTAGGGCAAGACTGGGTTGTGGCAACAGGTCTGCCACAAAGAAAATCAAAGTCTACTAATAGCTGCAACCCATTAGGCATAGATAAAGAGGAGCTTGTGGTACCTAGTACCAGAGCCATGCCATAACAGTTGTGATAACAGTCCTCAACCTTCTACCACTAACAAGCCTAAAAAATAAAAGTAATGGTTAAAATTATTGGCAGATACCTGACAAACTCAATACTTGTGTATTACAAGACTCAGAGAGCAGACAGAAAAGCCAAATGGCCTAGGGAGAAACCTACAAACTACATACACATCTCAATTGAGCTAAGTGTCACTAAAGGAAACAAAAGAGCTAAAATATCCACTTTGAAGTAAAGCCTGTAAGACAGGAGGAGCCAAAGTGCACTGACAGCATGACTGTAAATATATCCTGGTTAACACATTACCCCTTTGATTAAGGCATATTTCCCAGAGCAAACATCCAATATCTGTCTAAATGTTTACAAATGTCTAAATGTTTACTATGCTAAAGCAGTCTATGTGACTGCATCTAACCTACCTACTTCACACCTGTTGTCACCAGTCCTCTCTGATCCTCACTTCCTCACATTCACATTTGTTAGTTAAGGCATAGTTCTCAAAATAGGCAGTTCATCTCTAAATAATTATTATAGTAAACCAGTGTATTCTCCTGCAACTCATATCTATTGTATCCAATGGCCTCTGATCTTCCCTATCTCCATAAGCCGTTTGATGCAGCTATTTATTAAGCCCCATTGTTAAAATAACTCCTGAAAGAGAATATTCTGTGATCAACTTCCTAAAGGTACCTCATTCAGTCAATACCCATCCCGTTTGATTCCAAACTGATCAAAAGCTTGCAAACTTCACAAACACACTAATGAGATACAGTGGTAATATGTTA